AAAATTACCCGTTAAGAAAGTGAATTGTTTAGTTCGAGCAATTAGTATGGAGAATTTATTTCACTATGGATTAATTTCTTGTCTCTTTATCCGTAGTGTTGACGCATAATTTAGATTAGTAGGATTCAAGCTAGTTTTTTTGGTCTTAAATTCATACTTGAAACCTGACATATCCAACCTGGTTGTCTATACATAAGTTGTATGTAAAAATAACAAACATATTTAACAACGAAAACACATAACTAATTAATTTACTTAAAAAACATTGTTGTCTCCCAAATTTTACTCGAAAAATGTTATTAAGTTTTATCTATTAAGTTTTATGTGTCATAATATGTGTCAACTTATGTGTCATAATTTTTCATAACTCTGAAAACGACAGCATAACTTATTGAATCACAATGTAGAACCTTTATATGACGGAGAAGAAAGTATATTAAGTTTTAACAATTTATACCTCTCTACCTATGTCTATATGACATTTTAATTTTTTTAGACTAATACAAAATGCAAAAGTACTTAACCAATCACCTTAAAATCCCTTAATACCCGTTTATAGTCTAAATTTTTTACTCGTAATGAATAGTTTTTCATAAAACAGTTCAATTAAGCAGCCTTACCCTTAAAAGAGTTAAAATGGAGGTCTTGGGTGTACCATGATTTATGCATAATGTGAATTTTAAATAGACCTAAACAAACTTCTAGTAACCTCCTTATATTTATGTCGGGCTTGTTTTAAATATAAAAGCCAAGAGACAATTTTGCGTAAAATTTAATTTAGGCCCTACTTAAAATATAAATTATCAGTGAATAAATAAGATACGATATGCTATTTCAAGCAAAACTTCCGCTATCTTCTTTTCAGCTGATTAATATTTGAACCATATTCATAAAACGTATCAAAAGTATAAACTGCTAAAAATATCACTCTTACATAATTTGTTTTTCTTACATTTAAATATTTCAACAATAATATTTTTGTACACCAAAGAGGAAGTATGGTGGATATATTTACAGGCGTTTTTGTATGGACTCCGAAGACGTCTAGGTGTATTGAATACAAATGAAAAACCGCCCAATACATCATCTGGCTTTTATTGTCAAGGAGTGAGTTTGAAACTTTATTCGTCTCTGATACCCCTTAAAAGATAGTGATAGTGAATGATTTTGTCAAGTGCTGTTTCGATTCAGTCAAGAATGATTCAGTCATTTAATGTACAACAACATTTTAAAACAAATAAAATTTGTTTATCCTACGTCTTATCTTAGTTTCAATATGAACCCATCCTGGCTGATGATATGGGCTGTCACTAGCAACATAATCCCAAAATCGGGCTTTTTGTTTGGTGTTAAATTGGAAACAGTTTATTGGAATGTTTTGGATACTTTAAAGAATAAGAAACCTAGTTTAGCTTACACCCATTGGTCATATAAATTATATAATCAAATATAATCACTTAAATATATAATCACATATTGTTCTCATAGTTTTAATGTATTGCTGGTGAATCTTTAAACAAATATCAGTCATAGATTACTATATTTCCTAATTTATCCAGAAATCCTTAATTTAAATCCAGAAATTTATTGAGTCAGCAGGTTATCTAATAAAAAAATACATTATTTATCAAGTTACACTATATTAAGGAAAGAGTGTTATTTATTTCATTCTAAAATCCACAATACACTCTTGGGATATGAGAAATAAGATTAAAAGATCCCAACGAAATACGCACAAAGCAGTGGATTACGTGCCACTAACAGATCAACAATGCCACAAAATATAAAGAGAACTTAATTACATTTCTATTTTGAATCTAAGGGCTGTGTCATACTGTAGATAAAAGATAAAACCCATTGTATAATGTCAGTTTTAATCAAAGTTATTATATTTTACATAGCTCTTTCTGAATTGTTAAACAAATCGTTATTGTGGGCTTTATTTAATTGTTCTCTGGTGAAAAAAAACATTAAGTTTTTTCTGGTCTAAGAATTTTTTTAAATAATAGTACAATTTTGAAATATACCTTCCTCTCTCTATAATTTTTCTAATATACTAATAATGTTTTGAACCACTAGTTTGTAAATTACCAAATTCCTAAAACACTCATGATTTACATAGTTCAAAGTTTTAATAGGGAATAATTTTCTGTATATCAAACATTATCAACTAATATCACATTAGAAAATAAATTAACATACAATGTTATTTTTGAAACATTTTTCAATGATAAAATCAGCAAAAACGGCAATAAAATTTATAGTTTATTCCACGCTGAGTGAAACTCACCTATCACAATGGACATGCAATTTCATGCCTGCCAATTCCTGGTTATCATCTTACTGGGACGTAGGATTGCGAGAGAAATCGTTTGAAATATTTATTTTACGATTTACATGCATGCATGAGTTATATACATTAAAGAGTAATCCTATACGTATATTGATTATCAAATTACTTGATTTTCTTGAAAACAGTAAAGTATTACAAGAAAATAAAATGACAAAACTGAAAGACATTTTAACAATATGTTAAATATTTTTATCTCTGCACAATGATGATTAGTCAAATGTAATTAAAACATTTAAGCATGTATAAGGTGATTTGTTAGAATAATACAAATTCAGTATTCGGTTAAAATAGTTGTATCAATCTAAATTAGAATAATTGTAAAGATTTTCTTAATACAATTAGATTATATAGGTTTTAAATCAAACTTAGGATGTATTGAAACTTGCTAATAGTTTTTAAAATGTTATATGTTATTATCATAGTTTAAATATTTGTATTGATTTTATAATATTAAATAATACTTAATAATTTTCAAATTCAAGATAATATGTTTATTCGTTTCACTTGGTTTAGCCACTAACAGCTATTTTGCATAATTTATTAATAATTTAGAAAATATATAACACTATATTTTACTTGTATTGTCATTCACACAAAAAAGAACTTAACGGGGCCATAATTGAAAAATCTAGGAAGATATTCATTTCCATGCCTCATTTTTATTCAAATTTTGAATCACCCTTAAAGGTTTAACATCTTGCATATAAATAAATAGTCCTTCCTTAATTGTATTTCAAATTATGTCTCGTTGTTAAGGTCTGATTAATTGTTTGTCAAAAGGAAAGAAATTTTTAAGGCCTGAAGACAAAACCATTTTCATAAACGATCGTCATTTTACACACCATAAAAGATTACTGAGTCGTTAAACCTTTTTCATTTTGTGCCCTCACGTTTCACATAACTTTCCTTGATGGCGATCTTAACGTAGGCCTACGCCTTTATTTTTCTTCTTCGTATAATATATTCGTTAAATCTTTCCTTCTACTTCCTAGATTTAACTGTCAATCGTAAGATTTTATTAAATTTAAAGTAGTGTTTTTATTGATATTAACATTATTATCACAGATTTTTCCTACTAATTATTATTAGAACCGGCGATCCATGACGTTTTATTAACCAGTTGCAAAAATATTTCTCAATAAACTATTAAAAAACATACTACTACTTTAGTGCATAAAATTTGAAGAAAATGAGTATATTACGTGTTGAAGGGTTCTTAATATAATATTTAAACTGGTCGTTTGAAAATTTAAACAATTCTCTCTTTAAATGGATGCATGTACATTGACTATAATGGTAATCACAAGATATGCAGTTTTTTTTTTATTTCAACTACAATTGTTCAATTTGTTTACTATTTTGATGTGTATTTCAAATTTGATACAGCAAAAGTACACACTACTATTGAACTTGTTTTTACTGTAATGATATTTTAAGTAAAACCAAGCCCAACTATTTGAAAGAGAAAAATGGAAGATAAATGACCAGTTTTTACACCAGCGTTGAGTATAACGGGCTCGGGGCAATTTCAGTGGTAATTATACAAACATGTGAGCTACGTTTTGATAACATGCAAAATGAGTATCAGCAGAATGAGGTTGTATGAGCCTAAATGGGATGTAACTTCACCAAATGTGTTTGAACGTTTACCTTATCACAATGTGTCTACTGTTTAGACTAGTAATTAGGTATTGCTGGTTAAGTGATTACAATATGACATAGACTAAATAAAGCCTAGACATTCCATCCCAATGTTAAACATGTAGCCAGTTTTTTTATCACTATTAATTATTCCTTGCACCCAGTTAATGAATTTTTGTTTTGAATTTTTGTACAAATTGTACCATTTTTATCTCAATCGTCAGTGACGTAAAGGGGATTTTGCATTATTATCTGCACGATATATAAAATAAGAAACCGAAATACCAAGGAATCTGTTGGAGTATGAATCCGAAACATTCCTGATGAATAAAACATGTCGTGATTTTATCTTGACAATAAATGCCAGATGTCGGAACTGGGGTGGCTTTTATCTGTATCCAATACCTAACTTCCTTGCTGAGCAACTTTGGAACCTTGACTACATGGATTACTTAACATTTAAATTGAACTACCCAGCCTTTTATGTTGGTTAATTTTATGTTTGGAGATGCATTTTTGTCAGTTAGTTAATGACTCTGAGCTACCTGGAATATAACACAGAAATTTCACAAAAAAGGTTTACCACACCGAGAAATATCAAGGAATCAGAATTATTATCTGCTACAGAAGTGTAAGCAATTAAATATGCCATTATTACTGAGTGGATATGCCATTACGCTCTGCAAAAAATTCTACAATATTAATAATTAGAAAAATTCTTTAATTAAGAGGCAAAAATGTGGATTCTACTATAAACTGTGGGTCCCTTAGTTGCCATTGGCTGTATCGGCTATTAATTAACAGCTGTGTCCAGCGAATATGTTAGTGACTAACATAAGACAACAGGATCGCGCCACTCATCCTACACTTATCTCCAACTATAATTAAAATACCCACATTCGTATGGTCACCATTTCAAAGTAAATTATTAAAGTACAAGGATGTAAATATTAATTTTAAATATATATAAATATACATTAAATATTAATGATTAAAGAGTACTTACTTGGACCGGCACTCCCTGGTCTGTATGGTAACTCCTCCCCCACACGACCTCGTACAAGGGGTCCAGGGTGACCATGAAGACCACGACCCTGGCTGGCCCTTCACTATCCTCTGTTGTATCATCTGGTGGACCTGGGGACAACAGATGACGTCAGCAACAAACGAATGTGTCTGGTAGCCAATAGTATATAAGGGACGCCATTGAGATTCTTGCAATTCTCCTATTGGCTCTGACGATGGTTGGAGTGTCCGACGAAATCGATCAGTGTTATTTGTCATATATTTTTGTACTTTTAGGCAATCTAATAACACTTACGCTGTTGATCAAGAAGCTATTTAAATACAGGGCCTGCATTGATAACTATAGGCCTACAACTTATTTTAGCCAAAATATGATAAATATTGCAACAATGAGTAAACAGCTGTGCACATAAACAAAATTGAACTATACCATTTTAGTAAACATGGCGTTGTGGAATAATGAACTCCGTGCTTTTGTGGAAGCGATTTTTAATAATAATGATTCATTTATTAAAACACTGAGTAAGGAAGGATTTCAGTATTTTTCCGAGTACGTTAACGATAGAGAACTTGGTATCATTATTTAGAAGAACAGCGTCAAAAAAAGGTTGATGGAAGCCATCAAACTATCCGCACGCCAGTTAGGAGAGTACGAGCCACAGTCACTCAAAGTCCAGAAAGGTCCGCCAGGGTGCAGTCCTAAGCACTTAAAATCTCTAGATCTCTTGGAAAGATCTTGCATCAATATCTCCATTTCCACATCTACATGATAAAAGTCGTGCAAGAACTTGAAGAACCAGACTACATCAAAACAGTCGAGTTTTGTGGTGAGATTTTGACATTAAAACGAAGTGCCAAAATGTCTGACAAAGAACATTTTTACCTTACTAATACTAATTTTTGCCATGTTAATAAACAAAATATGAGTTTATGGACTGCTGAAACCCCCAGAGAGCTTCATCCCAAGCCCTTACACAGCCCTAAAGTAACAGTGTTTTGCCGTAACAACTGAAAGAATCTTTGGACCAAACCTTGTTTGACAACACCGGAAAGGCAGCGACCATAAATTCAAAAAGGTATGTAGCGTTAAGATACTTTTTATTTCACTTTTGAAGGAATTGGAAATAGCCACAGAGCAGCTCTAATTTCAGCAGGATGGAGCCACTACTCACACAGCTGATCAGTACACACTGGGAAACACTTTTGAAGGTCGATTGATCTCAAGATTTTGTGACATATCCTGGCCAGCTCGATTTCCAGGTTTGTCTGTGTGTGATTTCTTTATATGTGGCTATTTGAAGTATAAGGTTTTCCAAAATCGGTCAAGTGACTTGCTCGAGCTCAGAGAATCGGCAAAAGGTTCAATGAATTCCCCAAGAAATGATTGAAACCGAGGGAGTTTCAAGCGATTCGAAGAATGTCAACATTTTTAAGGACGTCACTTGAAGGATGTTGTTTTCAAGATATGAAATAATGGCTTATCCAGGGCAAAATGTTATAAGATTACCTTTATGTGACGTGTTTTTTATAACAAATTTTAGGTTTTGTGCACAGTGGAAGGAAAACCATAGGTTTGCCATTCCCGTTATATGCTGAAATCACCCAGATTACAAACAAAAATTACCTGATTGTATTGTCATATAAGAATGTATTTGTTTTGATTTGATTGTTATTGTTTTTATATTTTATTCTAGAAAATGGGGTTTGCAATCTGTGTGACGTCGGCACATGACGGGAATAGCACACCTATGCTTTTTCCTTCCCCCATGGGTTGTGTTTTATTTATAAATTGTATAGTTGTTATTTTATCTTCCTGTATTTCTTTTCTTAGCATTGCAATTAAAATAACATATGGAGCTATTTTCACACATCGGAAGAAGTAGTGGTTTTCTTATATTTCCCCAAACTTATGTAGGCTAAGCTCTAAAAAATATATTTTAATTCATAAACTGGAAATTAAAATATAGTGTCTCTTACAGTTTTATTAGTTAACTGTATCATGACAAAAATATCTGAGAAAATAAGAATGTATTTATTTAAGAAAAACAAACTAACCTTCAGCGTTGAAAAGACACTTAAGACATAATTAAATGCGATATTAGCTGAGTCATGCCCAAAACAATTAAGAGAATATTAAAAGGCATTACTCTGCGCTCTCAACAGTTGCTATTAGCTCGCATTTCGTTGGAATTACACTGAATAGCAATGATTTAGTGCTTTATTAAGTAACTGAAATTGCACTTCAAGATTTATTTACTTAAGCTGTAGAAGTTGCATTTAAATGAGTTGTATATTCATTTATTTTTTACAAAATTATAATCGGCTATATCATTTGTTCTATTACATATGTTATTGTTATTGATGACCAATCTCATAGCAAATCTCTAAGAGAAAGAGAAAGAATGTTACAGCTGGCTTTGATAGCTTGGCCGAAACTTAACTCGTATAATCCGATCACGATATTTGCCGCACAGACTTAACTTTACTTCAACTTTCTTTCCATAAGTTTGGTCTCAAGTCGACGTTGAGAGAAGAATCGTCCTGTTACAGTCGTGAGGTAACAGCTGATCACTTTAGTGAAACAGTTAGTCATATTGTTTGAATAAAAAAAAAATATATATTGTTTTTTTTTGTGTTCGAGAAATAAATGCATCGATATAAAATTTTGTTGATGATATATACGAATGGTGCACTATCAAAAATATTATTTATTTCATCATTTTTTAATATTCCACAGTGCGTTGTTAACTCAATTTGTTACATTAACTGATTTTTGTTAGAGGCAAGTACTTCCTCAGTTCAATTCCACGGCTCCACAGACTTGGAAATCAAGCAAGTCACAATGTTGTTATGTTCACCTGCAAACTGAAAGCCATAAAAATGTCTCACAAGGTCACTGTAGAGAATTTTCTGTCTGTTTGTTCTCTTCTAAATAAATATTTATAGCACTGTTAAATATTTTTCATCTATAGTTTACATCACTGATATTTATATTTATTGTCCTTGTTTTTTAAAGCCTCGTATGTTAAATATATTTATATTTTTGTTTGTTGAAGTGTTATATTATAAAGTGTCTTTATAAATGTTTGATAAAATATTTGTCAATGTACTTTTGGTTTATTCCTGTTCTAATGCCATTTTTCATGTCAACAATAATTTTTACTTACAAGCAATATGAATCTAATTAGTTATAGCTATAGTTATATCTAATAGCACAAAAGTGTTTTTGTCTGTTTGTTAACCAAATATTTATATATTCATAAATTAACCAGCCACTCGAGTTTTACTGTAAACATTTTGTTTACCGTACGGACGTAATAACGTTTACAGTTTGTCCGACAGGCATCAGACATCTACAAAACTAATTGTCGATTGTGATCATGTTTACATTGGTAAAACTGTAAAATTAATTGAACGTTTAAAAAACCACATATATGCATGGAGAACAAAACAGAAAGATAAACTCAACCTTGTAAAAAAATGACCACTCATTAGTAAAAATTTAAGATTGTATAAAAAAAAATAATTGGAAGAAAGAAAGTGTATTGAATGCTTAGGAAGATTTTATATTTACAAGGAAAGTGTAAAATTAGAAATAAACTAATTAATAAACATGTAAATTTTGACCTCAGTTGTACTTATAGAAACCTATTGGCCGGTAATTCCGGTAGCCAATAGTATATACGGGACGCCAATGAGAGATTCTTGTCATTTGCCTATTGGGTCCGATGATGATTGTAGTATCTAATCGAAATTAATCATCACTTACCATCTTTTACATGTATTTACAATCTTGTGAGTCAACAGTATAGGTGTAAATATATTATTCCAATTGTTATTAGACGTATATCTTTTTTAAGATGTAGAAACAGTAAATTCTTACATCAAAATAAATACAAGTTTTACAAAGAAATATATACCCTTACGTCCTATGTCTGTATAGAGAAGTAACGTCTCTTTTACTGAAACACATTTCAAATTTTCCACCAGTCCAAGTGACCAAAAATCACTTATCATAGTTTAACAACTTTACTATTCTTCAAACACTTTTTGCGACCATATTTCTCTACTCCCAGTAAAGTAAGATTGTACTTCTACTCTCCTTTCTCAATTCAGCAAGTCTCTGCACGTTCGTAGCTCGTCAATACTCTCCGGTTTTATTACTGTTAGCGGTGCTTTCTCCTGTAGCAGCGCTATTTCAAAATGAAATTTCACACTCGGTTGGACTAATTTTCTTCGTTTGTAATGGATTTTTAAACGAGTTACCAGATAGTTTGTTTTTGAACGAACTATTTTTATCCATAAAAATGGGTATTACATTATTCGTTAACAGATTTTTACCATAGGAGAACTTTATATAGATACAAATTTTAACATGTAGCTGTTCCCCTTATCATATAGCTGATCACTAAACCAAATAAACAACCTCAAGTTAATGAAAACTAAATGAAAACGTATTCAGATTTTTTTACAAATAATAAGGTGTAACACACAATTTTTAAAACTATTCTGTGAATGGTAAATAAAAAAAAAATGTTGAAGAAGTTAATCTGATTTAAAAGGGTTATTTTAAAGAACTTTAAAGTAAGGCTTAGTGAAGAGGAAAATTATATGAAGCACCTGACTGAAAAGTGACGATCTTTTAGGAGTGATAAATAATGTAAAGTCAGTGTCATTAATCATGGTAATCATGGAGCAGGGCTGAATATAATGGATACTTAAAATCTTTTGAAAAATGTTTATCAGAGACGAGTAGTAAAAAATATTTCTAACATAAAGAGTTTTGACAAACTACTGAAAGTTTTACAATGCAGGTGAATTATTTTTTATTTATTTTCCTCGAGGTGTTAACAGTGTGAAGTCAAATTAAATAAAAATATTTATTGAGCCAGAACAATTAACCGTGTATACAAGTAGTAGTAGTATTATCTCGGTCATCAATAAAAGTTGGCTTACATGGTAAGTCTAGTTTTCTTTAGAAAAGAGAGAGATCGTATAGCTTGAAGACTTTTTCAAAGTAAAATATTTATTTAACAATCCTGGAAAAATTTAATTACCATGATATTTTCATATAAATTTAATCAAAATATTGTTTTAACAATAAATGACTT